AATATGGAATGTGGCACCAGAATGGGACACAGTACTATAAATAATGGGCTAATGCAAATTTTAAAAGACTTAGATACAATCCTGAATCTGAACTCTTGGAGGATCAATGATCGACATGCTTATCCATATTATATATGGATAATATAAGAGCCGTGGTGGCGCAGTGGTTAGAATGCAGTGTTGCAGGCTAACTTTGCATTCCACTGCCAGCAGTTCAACCCTGACTGGCTCAAGGTTGACTCAGCTTTCCATCCTTCCGAGGTCGGTAAAATGAGGACCCAGATTCTTGGGGGCAACAGGATGACTTGGTAAAACAATTTAGAGGGGGCTGTAAAGGATTGTGAAGTGGTATGTAAGTCTAATTTCCTTGCTCTCTTTTTCTTTTTCTTTCTTTCTTTCTTTCTTTCTTTCTTTCTTTCTTTCTTTCTTTCTTTCTTTCTTTCTTTCTTTTCTTTCTGCCATGGTAGTGCACTGGTTAGAATGTAGTATTGCAGGCTAATTCTGCTGATTGCCAGCAGTTCGATCCTGACTGGCTCAAGGTTGACTCAGCCTTCCATCCTTCTGAGGTCGGTAAAATGAGGACCCCAATTGTTGGGAAAGGGCAATATGCTGACTCTCTAAATTACTTAGAGAGGGCTGTAAAGCACTATGGAGCAATATATAAGCCTAAATACTATTGCTAAAGAGCCGCAGTGGCGCAGTGAGGATGCAGGATTGCAGGTTAATTCTTCCCACTGCCAGGGGTTCCATCCTGACTGGCTCAAGGTTGACTCAGCCTTCCATCCTTCTGAGGTCAGTAAAATGAGGACCCAGATTGTTGGGGGCAGTATGCTAAGTCTGTAAACCATTTAGAGAGGGCTGTAAAGCACTGTGAAGCAGTATATAAGTCTAAATCTAAATGTAGGTGCAATATAACCCTTCTGTGCATTCATCACGGAGAAAATCTATCTATAAAGTCACTAGCTGCCAAAAACGACTTGATGACACATAATCAATTAATCAATGTGCATACATGCTAAACACAACCACAGTCATCAAAATGTTGCTTTAGAATTTTTGCTTCTGCAACAGTCATAACTTGAAGCGGTTGCTAAACAAACAGCCCTGAGTCAAGAGCTACCTCTAATAATAAAGTCTATTTTAAGCTTCTTCCCTTCTGGCCAAAATACACTTATAAAGTTAGAGATCTGGAGAGAGAAAGCTCTATTTTAAAAAAAAATACTCATGAATAAGTCATCATAATTTTTTCCCTTTCCTCTGCAGCATAAATCTATTTCATACAAGAAAATTTTAGCTCCTTAATGATATAGTCTATCCACACCATATTATTGCACATTAGAAGTAATTTGTTTTCCAACTGCAATAGGGGAAAGTAATGCATTCAAATTAAAATTGATTTACATTTTTTTAATTTACTCCATGTGGCTAGTGGTGGGAAGGGGACTTAGGTTTTTGTTTTTTTTACAGGCTGAAAGGGGAAAAAAAGTTATCATTTTTAAAACAGGGGAAATGATTTAGAATTGACTAAAATGCGAAGAACGATTAAATTGTCAAGTTATTTGCACAAACTGAATGCTTTTAAACTGAGCGACTCAGGAACCTCTTATTATAAACATACTCAAATCCAACCAGCAGTCAACACTGTTAGTCATTTTTTTAATCAAGAAACTATTACCAAATGCATAGATGAATACATTGTAAAAGATCCACCAATTAGTTATACATTCAAGAGCAATGTTTTATTACTTATATTTTATTCACACACCCTATGATAATTTATGTAATAGTTTAAAGAAAGGCCATAAAAACATCTATTTGCTAATATATAATGTTAGGACAAGGGAAATAAAATATTTTGTGTTGTTGAGGGCCAGGGAATTTGGACCTGAAGAAGAAACACATCTTCTAATCTAGAATCATTTCTCTCTCTTACACACACACACACACACACACACACACACCCTCTTGGACTTCTTGGAAGAATAATAACACACGTACAGTATTTTTTTATCCTTGGTGGGAAAACTGAGCTTGTAGAGAAAACAGACTGGGATATTGAAACTTATCTTATAGAATCAATTTTAGAAAAGTGATGGATCTAACTCTGAAAGCTCTTTGGAGAGCTTGTGAAGGAGAGCTCTGCAATTCCTGGAAGTCCTTTTTGTGGGTCCTTGATTTCTTTTACATCACTGCCATCTAGTGTCCCAGTTCAAAATGATCAAAACATTTATTTTTTGAACAGAATACAGAACAGACTTGGAAGAGACAGACCTTGGAGGTCTTCTAGTCCAACCCCCTGATCAAGCAGGAAGCCCTGTAACATTCTGGACAAATGGCTGTCCAGTCTCTTCTAAAAAAAACCTCCAGTGATGGACCACTTCCAGAAGCAATGATGGAACACCCACCACTTCCAGAAGCAAGCTGTTCCACAGGTTAGTTGTTCTCACTGTCAGGAAATTTCTCCTTAGTTCTATTATCTCTCTTTAGTGACCTTCCACCTGTTACTCAAGTCTTCCCTTGCTTGTGTCTTTCTGGAAACATTGGGTTGGTCCTCTTGAACCAAGTGACTTTTTGGCAAAAGGATCAGTTACCTAGAGAGACAGTAGACTCTTTTTCACTAGATGTGGTTTAGTGGAAGCTATGCAACTATTTGTCTGGTACGGCTTCATCTGGATTCCCACATATAGCCGGGAATGGGACTTGAGGAACTCAATGATTCTTTTCAAATTTAAGGTTTTATGACCCCATCGGGTTCTCCAGTTTCTCTCCATCTAAAAGGGTTAAATATGATATCTAATACCCTAGAAATACGTCTGTGTGTAGTTAATGAGCATATCTATTCACTACTACACAATCTTCGAACTCCGGGATAAATATAAATCAGCTGTTTATTGTTAAAAAATTTAAAACAATAAAAACAACTATTTACAATGCTAAAACAAACTTAGCTTTCGCTGGTCCACTGCCAGCGTCTTCAGAGTAAAGCATTGGGGTGGAGAAAGATCTCATAATGTATGAGATACATCATAAGAGATCTTTCTCCACCCCAATGCTTTACTCTGAAGAAGCTGGCAGTGGACCAACGAAAGCTAAGTTTGTTTTAACATTGTAAATAGTTGTTTTTATTGTTTTATTTTTTTAACAATAAACAGCTGATTTATATTTATCCCAGAGTTCGAAGATTGTGTAATATTGAATAGATATGCCCGGGATTTGGATTTTTACAGTTATTAAGGATATACACATATATATTCAGCTCTTTGGTGCACAGTAAATATTGTTTTGGTAATTTTAATTCTCAGAATCAACAATATTTATGCTTACAGTTAAGAGTTCCCTCTTGGTCATGCACGAATTACTGTTCAATACATTACTCACAAGACAATGGCTGGATGCCAACCACATCTGACTTAGGAGACTTGTCAAAACTTGTCCAGTTGACACAAAGAATGCCCCTACGTGAATGCCCGGGACGTTTCATTTCTAACACCTCTCCAACTTCTGAGTAGTTACATGATACCAAATTACTCATCAGAAGAATTCAGACTTGTTTATATATCAAACAGAGATTGGAGAAGTTCTAGTTGCTATCTTGAAAAGTGCCCTGGATTAAAAAAAAAAAAAGAGCTGACCCACAGATCAGGGGTAGAAGGTTATACCTTTGGTTACAAGGTTTGATGCACCCAAAAATTTTTTTTTTAAAAAAGGATTAAATAGCAGATATGGGAAAAACCACTCTTGGCAAGGGAGCATAAAGTTCACCATCGCTCTTCCACTTGGGTGGGAAGGTTACAGAAGGCTAGGAATCATGAGAACTTTCTGAGATTGGAGGAACCCTATTAAACAATTGTTTCTTCTCAGAAAACCCCCCCCCCCAAGATTTCATAGAACCAGATAGTTCCAGATAGAACATCTTTGTCTAAAACCAGCTTTTCTTTTTGTGAAACATTTCCTGCTTCTAATCAAGAGTATGGATTTCTCCCCGAGAGTTCAGTACGTACTGATGCAACAGAAGATGGATTGTCCCACCATTGGGTGGATCAGTAACTGCAGATGGTCACTGGCTGCCCCCTTGCTTGATGGGTCTCTTGGTCAATTCCCCTGTATGGAATTATGAAAGGAAAGTACCATAGGTTGTCTACTTTAGAGAATTCAAAGAAATAAAACGCTTCATTGTGGAAACCATTCCTTAGCAGAAAACTGCATGGAGAAACTGTTTTTTTATATGCTGCTAAACCATATTGAACTCTTATTTATTAAGTAAACCAAGGATAGGCAAATTATCCGAGAGATATATTCTAAATTTTAGCAAAGCTGGAAGTCTGGATTTAGCGAAGCTGGTTACTGAATTTGAGGGGCAGTTTTAGGATATTTCTTTGCTTTTGATTGTGGTATCTTTGAGGAGTTGCATAGCAGTTTTTTGTAGTTGTATCTCCTCAGGGTGTTTGTCTGTTTTCGGCAATCATGGTCAGTGAAACCATAAGGAAATCTACAAGCTGGAAATGACTCCACAGCAACTGGTTCCTCCCCTTTGCAAGAAGCCACCTTTGTCTGCCTTTGCTAAAATGCTGAGTCATAAACCGAGGTTGGCCACACATCATGGCTGGGTCTCCATTATATACCAAGTCATAACGTTGTTCATACCATGTTAGTTTTGTGTGATGTGTGAACCCAATCATGGTCTCTGTTGATTGGATCTGCTTCTGCCTAAATCTCTATTGCCTATTGGGAGATTCCTACTTGGCTGATTAACTTTTACCCTTCTTTAGTGACTAATGTAGAGACGGTTTGCTATAAGCTAGAATCGATTATCAGAGAAATGTAAATAAGTTTGGGGTCTTGCCATTTTTCTGCCAGGATTTCAACCAGCAAGGCTAGCTGGGGAATTCTGTGAGTTGAAGTCCACACATCTTAAAGTTGCCAAGGTTGAAAAACACTGTTCTAGACTTGCCAAATCATATCTAGCTTTTCCTGAACTAGGAAAAGGTCCTGATAATTGATATTTGCAAGGTTTTTTTTATTATTAACAAGGGATGGTAGATGTGCATTAATTAAAAAGCCAAACAGACATTTAGCTATTGAACATGATTTAGTTCCAAAGTTTAGAGCAATTCAGCGCCACACAGGGTAGAGATTTACCCAAACTATTTAAGCACAATATTAAAAGATTAGCAACCTTCTCATTCACATATATACATTTCATTAAAGACATAATTGAATCATAACACTTAGGAAAACAGAAAACAAAGTCTAAATTGGTTTTCCAAAATAACACATTGTTTCTTTGAACAAATATACTTCTAATTTTACAACTGGCACACATGGAGCTTGAGAAAGCATGTCAAAGTATTTTCCATCCTTG